TCAGATTTTTCCGCGAGCCTTTCTCCAAGAAAATTAAGAAAAACCACAAAACCACGTGGCACGTGGTCCCAGTTTGGGGTACAAATTGAACAAACCAATATTACCATCAGAAGCGCCGTAAAAAGTTGAACAAGACGGTGGTTTTAGATTTTTGCTGCATAAAGGGAAAAAATTTCTACGAGTGTAAAAAAGTAAACAAACAAGATTTAACAACTTTAACCAGGAATTACATGAGAACAAGATCGAGGACCCCAATGTTTCTTCACATCACCAGAAGCGCCGCGCGGAGATCTATTTAAAGGTACCAATCCCAGATTTTTCCCTTAAAAACTGTAGCTCCTGGAAACTTTTTTCTCTCGACCACGTGCCACGTGGTCCCCAGAACAATACGTTTTTGTAAATATACAAAAGTAAGACGCATTATATAGATCGCATTTTATTATACTTTGACACACCACAGCCTACTCTACGTCACATATAAAATAAAACATAAACAATGTTTGGTATACGCACCCCAACAAAAATCACCACCCCGCCACCCCATGCTACTGGAATAGAGGAGAGGGAAGGATCGGCTCCTATACAGCCACCGACCCCGACCTTAACCCCAGCGGTGAGAAAGAGCATAGGAGAGCTGGAAGCAGCTATAGCTCAGAGTGCAGAAGTGTCAAAAAAGCAGAAGTCATACAAAACTAGACTTACTGAAGCCGCAGCAGTCCAACAGAGCGCTCTTCTCCAGCTTGACGCTGCCAGAAATTTAAAGGGCGAAATAAAAGCAGCGGTTACCTCGGCGGTAAAAAGACTGTATGAACTGGTAAAAGAGGCCGAGTCTCAAACTAAGGAAGGAAAGGATAAGAAGAAGGAAAAGGAAAGGGGAAGCGAGGTAGTGGTAGAAAAGGAGAACGACAGTAATAAAACTTACAACATAGACACCACACCGCAAAGTAAAACCCACGAAATGGACGAGCACCTAAAGCGGTTGGAAAAAGAAACTAAAAAGCTGGAAGATATCAGCAAATTACTCCAGGACAACATAAAGCAATACAAAAGAAAACCAGACGCCGCCCTAGACGAACAAAGAAGGCAGAAGATACTTCATCACGTCGAGGGAAACGCAAGGAAGCTCGATGAATTAAAGGAAAGGATAGGAAAACAAGGAGAGCTAAAAGAAATCAAAGAACTTATAGAAACACAGATTGAAAAAACTAATGAAAGAGACCGGAACATCGAGCGGACGTACGCCAACGTTTTGGCAGCTAACAATAAAATAGCCCAACAACAAAATCCCCCCACCACCTTGACCAACCAGAATAGATTAAATCACCCCCTCACGTACAAGCCAAAGCTACATAAGCTAGTAGTTAAGTCCTCTAGCCAAGAAACAAATTCAGAGGTTTACGAAAGGATTCGCTGTGCAATAGACCCGAAAACTACTGATACGGATACCATCCGCAAAACCAAGGATCAGAAAGTGATAGTGGGGTGCCGAGCGGAAGACCAAATAAAGGAAAGACTGCTAGGGGACAAAACACTTACAGTTTATCTATTACTCCACAAATTTATGAAAATTGATAGCTCAACAGCCTATGCAACGCTACAAAACCTGCACCAAAGAATCCTTATCACTGAAGTCATCCTTGTTTGTATTCTTACCTACCAAAATTCGATCAAACAAATGAAATATTAAAAGACCTTGATAATTTTACCGTAGCTTATTCCTCTAGTTGTGAAATAGAAGACTTCCAGACCTTAATTAAACATCCTGAAATTTGTTTGAAAATAATTCACCAAAATATTCGAAGTATACATCGGAACTTCCCAGACTTATTAACACTATTAGATAGATCTAAAACTGAATGGGACTTTATTGTGCTCACTGAGTGCTGGCTACGCCACACAAATATAATTCCCCATATTGACGGATATTATCATGCCCTTACCGAAAACAACCTGACTCAAAATGAAGGCGTTATAGTTTACTTCAAAAATTGTCTGAACGTAAAAATATTTGAACCGAAAGTACTCGGATCTAATTGTCTTGTAATAAAAATAAATGACAATACTGCCGTCATTGCCATTTACAGACCGCCAGGATATAAAGACGTCTCCCAATTTATAGAGTCGCTAAACGAAATTCTTACCGATCTAAAATTATCTTCATTATGCCAAACACTAAGGATGTGAATTCTCAATTTTATTTAAATCTACTAGCTTCTCATGGTCTGTTACCCGCACATACAATATCCACTCACAACAAAACGTGCCTTGATCATGTTTTTATGAAAAGTACTTTTTCTTCCGCTTGCTATGTAGTTGAATCATCTGTAACTGATCATGACAGCGTAGTTCTCATACTGGAAGACCAGCAATCTCACGAACAAAACAAGGACTTCATTCATAGTAAAATTGATTATGTAGGCCTAGATAATGATATGAAAAACCTTTGCTTTGAACCGATCTATCAGGTTTCAGATGCAAATGTTGCTACTTCTCTTCTTATCTCGGAGATTAATGCTAAAATAAATTCTAATACTCAAACTCACACCGTACCTAATCGCAAGAGGCTAAAGAAGCCTTGGATGACTGCTGGTCTTCTAAGATGTGTACGAAATCGAGATAAACTTCATAAAAGATATAAAAAAGACCCGAACAATGAAATTAAGAAAATAACCTACAAAAGGTACAGAAATTTTTGCAACTGGCTCCTTAAAAAACTTAAAAGGGAGTATGAGGAGAAAGAGTTGAAAGCAGCGGCGAACACAAATAATAAAGCACTCTGGGACACCATTAGAAAATTAACGCATATATCAAAACTTAATAGACCTGCTGAGCAACTTATTTCTCCTGATAACCCCTCTAAATCGATAAATTATATGAATAAATTCTTTGTTTCTGTTGGTAAGGATCTTGCTGAAAGGGCTTATTCCTATGGTAGGGGTTGTAAATCCTCAATGGCCAAGCCACTAGCATCCTTAGTTTTGGATAGTACCGATGAAAGTGAAGTTCGCAACTGTATTCTCAACTTAAAAAAGACAAATGTACTGGACGGCATAATATTTCAGGTGCTATATTAAAACGGTATCATCAAATAATAGTCCCACCATTGACATACATTGTAAATTTGATCTTTTCCACAGGCGTTTTTCCGGATCAGCTTAAGCTGGCTGACATTGTTCCAATTTTCAAGAGTGGTGACAGAGAATGTGTCAATAATTATAGACCAATATCTAAACTACCCACGATTGCAAAAGTAATAGAGAAACTCATAAACAAACGCCTTGTTCACTATCTTGAAACCAAGAATCTCATTTCTAGCTCGCAATTTGGTTTTCGTTCCGGTAGTTCTACAAATGACGCCGTTCACGAACTTACTGATCACATTGTAGCCAAACTTGACCGAAAGCAAAAAGTTATAGCAATATTTTTGGACCTTGCTAAGGCATTTGACACAGTCTCTGTCCCACTTCTCTTAAACAAACTTGAATCTCTGGGTATCCGTGGTTCTCAATTGAGTCTTTTCCAAAGTTACCTTAAAAATAGATTTCAAAGGGTGAAGGTCGGTGACCTTGTAAGTAGTGACTTGCCAATAACTTACGGTGTCCCTCAGGAAAGCGTACTTGGCCCAACGTTGTTTCTAGCATTCATTAATGAGTTATGTAACCTCCAGTTGCCAAATGGTAAGATAATATCTTTTGCAGATGACACGGCCCTTGTATTCTCTGGCAACAATTGGAATGAGGTCTATAATTCTGCTCAGTCTGGTTTTGGCCTTGTTAATGAATGGTTGAGAGGCAACGGCCTTACGCTAAATGTTGATAAAACAAAATTTATGCCCTTCTATATTAAAAACATTCCCTCACACATTCATAATAATGTTTCTATCATAGCCCATACTTGCTCTTCAAATCAACTCTGCCATTGCAAAAGCATTTCCCTTGCCCATAGTATTAAGTATTTGGGTGTAGTTATCGACAGTAACTTGAGTTTTAATTCTCACGTGGATCTTCTCTCTTGCAGAACCCGTAAACTCATTTATATCTTCAAAACTTTAAGGTCTATAGCAGACAGAAGAATTATTAACGTAGTTTATCAGTCTTTATGCCAATCAATTTTAGGATATTGTATCACTGTTTGGGGAGGTACTTTCAAAACCAATCTCCTAAAACTTGAAAGAGCCCAACGAGCAGTATTAAAAGTAAGCCACTCCTTACCGCTTCTTTTTCCCACCAAAGAGCTTTATGCCCTAGCCGATGTATTAACAATTCGTCAATTATTTATTCTGAACACAGTTCTAAAACAACATCATAAAACTAGTTACGACCCCGATTTAAATATTAACAAGCGGATAAAACATAAAGTTTGCTGTTGTATTACAAAATGGACAACTTCTTTCTCGCAAAGGTTCTTTGGTTTCCTAGGCTGTTATTTGTATAATAAATTAAACGAAAAAATTAACATTTACCCACTACCCAAATACAAATGTAAAAAAAAGGTTACTACTTGGCTGAAGACGTTGAGTTATGATGAAACAGAGGATCTAATAACTGTCATTCTGTAACTCACCCACTTCCCCACACATATACACACACCCACGCACGCATACACACACTTAGAGAGAGAGACACACACACATACACACACATACACACACATATACACACACACATATACACACACACACACATACACACACACACAAACACACACCAAATTTATTTTTAAAACTCCGTTGCACAATGTTTTCTTTAGCACTTAATACTTATTTTCTTCTATTGTAACCTTTGACAATGACATGATTGTACGCGTTCCGGTCCGGTGGTGGAGAGGCTGGTTATCTGTCACTCAGGTCTCCTGTTACAGAGACCAGTCTCTCACATACACTTCCTAATGTTATAATCTTAGTTTAATCATAAAAACCTTATGTATGTGAGAGAAGAAAATAAAGATTATTATTATTATTATTATTTGTGGAAACGTTGAAATACAAGGACCCACTAGTTATGCTGAGGGGCGTTCTCCAAATTCATAAAGACGATGAGATAATCGACTATATAGAGGCACAAAACAAACAAATATTCTCAGGTATTATAGAGGAGGAACGAAGGATGACTGTCAAAAGACGTAAGACAGCAAGAAACCCTCACCTGCAGAATATTATACTACAAGTGTCCCCTACAATCTGGAGAAGAATGGTGGAGGTGGGAAGAGTACACGTTGAACTACAAAGAGTGGTGGTCCACGACCAGTCACCACTGATACAATGCACCAATTGTTTGGGCTATGGTCACACGCGGAAATATTGTGAAAGCACGAAAGAGGTCTGCGCTCATTGCGGGGAGGAACATAAAAAGGCAGATTGCCAAAAATACAAAGCAGGAGACCCCCCAATGTGCGTAAACTGTACAATGCTAAACGTGAATGCTGACCACAACGCGTTTGACACTGACTGCCCAACGAGAGCGAGATGGGAGGCAATGGCAAGATCGACGGTGGCCGTATTGCTAAGGGCACCCACAGGAGACAGAATGGCTACTTAATGTGTCAGGCGAACCTCCAGAGAAAAGAACTAGCCCAAAACGAATTAAGGATAGAGGCTAAAAACAGAGGTATGCTCGCTGCTCTCGTTCAAGAACCATATACTGGCTCCGAAGGAAGGGTCAAGGAACAGTCAGGAGCCAGAGTGTATCAACATGAGCAAGCGGGAGCGACAGTGACGAAAGCTGCGATCTTCGTGTTTGACGAAAAGATCGAGGTCATTCAGTTTCCTGAATGGACGACGCCGAATGTGGTAGTAGTGAAGCTGCGTACGGAGGCATGGGAGATCACGTTGGTTTCCTTCTATCTTGAACCAGATCCAAAAGATGTTCAGCACCACATCGACCGAATCCAGAGAATATGCGATAGGGCTAAAAACAGAATAATTCTGGCCGGTGACGCGAACGCAAAAAGTCCGTGGTGGTGCAGCCCCAACGTCGACCACAGGGGCGACCTAATAGCAGATACCCTTCACAGTATGAACTTTGAAATACTTAACAATAGTAACATACCCACTTTTGACACTGTGAGGGGGGGAAAAAGCTACAGAAGTTACGTGGACATTACTGCATGCACCGCGGACCTATTAGCGATAATAGATGAGTGGAGTGTTGAGGAAGGACTGGTGAGCTCCGACCACAACGGTATCACGTTTAAAATGAGACTCGAGAGATCAGAAGGAAGGAGAACAGAACGGACCACCAGAAAATATAATACCAGAAAGGCAAACTGGTCACTCTTCGAAAAACGACTATCTGAGCTCTTGGATTGGGCTACTTAATATAGAAAAAATTAACAAAGTTAAAAAAGGAACAACTAGAAGAGATCGTAGAAAAATACACAGAAGCAACGATCGCAGTCACAAAAGAAGCCGTTCCAGAAGTAAAGAAGAGGCCAACAAACACCTTGCCTTGGTGGAACGACGAGCTGGAAAGAAGAAGAAAAATGGTTAGGACAAGGAAAAGGCGCATCAGATGCGCAGCACAAGTTCGCAGGAATAAAGTAGTGCAAGAATATCTGAAAGAAAAAGAAGAATACGAAAAAATGATCATGGAAGCGAAAACAGAGAGCTGGCGTAACTTCTGTACTAGGCAGGAAAGAGAGGGAATGTGGCAGGGGATATACAGAGTTGTGAATCACACGACAAAAAGAGTGGAGGATATTCCTCTTATCGCAAATGGTAAATACTGCGACTCTAGAGAATCTGCTATGCTTCTAGCTGAGACATTCTACCCCCCGGATGAACCAAGTGAGGATACCGAAGAACAGAAACGGGTACGAGCAGACGCAGAGGGAGCGAATGATGGATCGAGAAATAATGATATTCAGGACCCACCATTTACAAACTTTGAGCTAGAGAGAGCCGTAAATAGTTTCAATCCCAAAAGACACCGGGCGGGGACGGTCTGACAGCGGACATTTGCCACAGAGTCAACCTGGAATTTACCGAACCATTGTAAATAAAGCCCTGGAGACTGGATCCTTCCCAAAACAGTGGAAGGAGGCGACGGTCGTGATTCTGAGGAAACCGGGAAGACCGAAATACACAGAACCAAAAGCTTACCGACCCATTGGCCTCCTCCCCGTAATGGGAAAGATCTATGAGAAGATGCTGGTCGAGAGACTGAAGTGGCACCTTGTGCCTAAGCTATCAAAGAGACAGTACGGGTTCATCCCGCAGCGAAGTACTGAGGACGCCCTCTATACCCTAATGGACAGAGTACATAAAAATCTTAAAAGGAAACTCATAACATTAATCATCTCCTTGGATATAGAGGGAGCCTTCGATAATGCGTGGTGGCCCAAAATATGCATGCGCCTTGCCGAACAAGGATGTCCCGTCAACCTGAGAAGGGTGTACGATGACTATCTCCGGAGTCGCAAAGTTAAACTTCGATATGCTGGGGAAGAAGTAGAAAAATCGACTACAAAGGGTTGTGTGCAGGGATCCATAAGCGGCCCCTTGCTCTGGAACGTTATACTGGACCCGATACTGGGGCAAATGTCTGACAATGATATATATTGTCAGGCATTCGCTGACGATGTGCTGGTGATAGTGGAGGGTGACAGTGGAGAGGAAGTCCAGAGGAAGGGAAACAAGGCGCTCGAGTTGGCCATGAAATGGGGTGACAAAAATAAACTGAAATTCGGACCTAACAAGACCCAGGCAATGGTAATAACAAATAAAATCAAGTATGACACCCCAAGGCTGGAAATAAATGGTGTTCAAATTGGACTGGCAAGTAAAATAAAAATTCTTGGCCTAACAATAGATAACAAAATGACTTTTGGCGAACATACAGCAGAGGTGGCAAAAAAGGCAATAAACATTTACAAGCAGTTAGCCAAAACAACAAAAGTGAGCTGGGGCTTAAATTCGGACATAATCCGAACGATTTATACAGCGGTGGTTGAACCTGTAATCCTATACGCAGCAAGCGCTTGGTCCCCATCCGTTAGTAAATTATACATAAAGAAAAGGTTGGACTCAGTCCAACGAGGCTTTGCGGTAAAAATATGTAAAGCCCACAAAACCGCGTCGCTTAATTCAGTTAGAGTGCTCGCCGAGCTGCTACCCCTTGACCTAAGAGTTGTAGAGGAGGCAACACTTTTTAAAATTAAAAAAGGACACGACACCTTGGAAGTGCTGAAAGATGTGGAGATAGAACTAAAAACGCCCTACCAAAACACTCCACACCCTGCAAAAATACCCCAAATTAGTTATCGAGCTTTAGCAAATGAAGAGGTGAATAATGAAGACAAAATACACGTCTACACAGATGGCAGTAAAACAAGCGAGGGCGTGGGTGCGGCGGTGACATTCTGGAGAAACGATCGTGAGATCCTAAAACATAAATTAACCTTGGCCGGCTTTTGCAGTGTTTATCAAGCCGAACTATTGGCGTTAAACAAAGCAGTGCACTTGGCGGTGCGGCGAAAGGAGGTCGGCTTTAATATATATAGTGACTCTAGGTCAGCACTTGACGCAGTATCGCGCAGTCGCTCCCTCAATCCCCTCGTTACTGAAATTCGCGAAGAGCTCGGAAAACACCCAGAGAAGGAAATAAAACTTTTCTGGGTGAAAGCCCACGCGGGCAGGGAGGGAAATGAGAGAGCGGACGAGCTGGCGAAAGAAGCGACAAGGAACCATAAGAACAGACCGACCTACGATCGCTGCCCGCTGTCGCATTTAAAGCGCCTCATAAGAGCGGGAACACTGCAAAAGTGGGCTACAAGATACAAAAATGAGCCGACAGGGAAAATCACAAAAATGTTCCTCCCGGATGCCATCGCTGCACACAAGATCACCAGAAGTATAAAATTTAGCAGTGCGCTCACCCAGATACTTACAGGGCACGGGGGGTTTTCTGCCTATTTGCATAGGTTTAAACTAAAAGAGAGCCCGGAGTGCGTATGCGGACACGCAGAGGAAGACGTCCCACACATCCTTTTTGACTGCCTCGTCCACCTCTACAATAGAATGAAGTTAGAAAAACAAATAAATGTAGAAAGAATAGATAAATCGAACATAGCGTTAGAAATAGCCAATAAGGAAAAACGAGACATTATAATAAAATACTGTATAGAAGTAGGAATGTTAGTAAATAATAGAAATAAATGAAACTGTAAGAAAGATAATATAGGAAAATAGATAAATCGAACATAGCGTTAAAAATAGCCGATAAAGAAAAATGAGATAATATTATAATAAAATATTGTATAGAAGAAGAAATGTAGTAATTAATAGAAATAAGTGAAATTGTAAAATAGATAATGTAGTAATGTAATTGAAATGTAATTGAACTTTGAATAACCAAATAAAGAAGCCACTAACAAATTATATCAGACATTCCACGGCTCGGAGTTGCCCAACGTCCGGGGAGTAGGCTGATTTATAAAAAAAAAAAATAAAAAAAACCTAACCTAACCTAACCTTTTTTTTTTTTTTTTATTGTTGGGAAATCAATTTACTGACCCCCGCGCCGGGGCAACGATTTAAAAGTGGCGCAGGGAGTGTGGGAGTCAGTCCGTATGGTGCAATGGACACTACCCACTAAAACCCAACAGCCCCATCTGGTTACTATGGACGGTAGGCACGGTAACAGTTTCCCTTAATCCGTGCCTCCGTCATAAGTTTGCTGGTGAGCACAACTTCTGCGTTGCCCAAATACTGTCCTAAGGTCCCAGTGGAGTACGTGCGTAATCGCGACGTCTCCTTCCAGGCCTTTTTTTTGCGTTGAGGGTCGGCGTCTGGGTTACACTCCCGAACCCTCTCCGCATTCTCTTTAAGTGTAATGACGGCCTCACAGAACGCTTTGAAAGTGTTCCACGGACCGTCACTGTCAGCCTCCATCATAGCTTTCACTATAACTGGAAGCGACAGGTCCAAACCGAAGGTGGCGGTTAATAGGCTACGTTGAGAGCTCCACGCCGGACAAACCTCTAAAGTGTGTTGCGCTGTGTTGTCTGCGAAACCACACTCGTGACAAATGGGGGATGCCTCCCTCCTGGCAACCCTGTGAAGGTATCCACCGAAACATCCATGGCCTGTGAGGACCTGAACGAGTCGGTACGAGAGTGCCCCCCATCTTCTATTTACCCACAAGTTGAGCACTGGACGTATAGATGTAATTGTCCAGACTCCTGCCCTGTGATCTTGTAACTCATCCATCCATTTCTGAAGGACGGTCACTTGGGCTTCCCGTCTCCAACTGTTTATGTGCTCAGGAAGGGGGTCGAAACCCCTACTTCTACTATCTGCCCTATGCCAATAGATCTTGGCTAGGGCAGCCGCTTCGAGGTGCCAGGGGGCAGTTCCTGCAATAACACACGCTGCCTCGCAAGAGACGGTGCGGTACGCCCTTGCCACCCTTATGGCCATCGCCCGTTGCGACTGTCTTAGAATCGCCCTGTTTTGAGCGAATAGACAATCGGCCCAAATGGGGCATCCGTAGAGGACCTTCGCCCGGACCACACCTGCAAATAACCGGCGACACCCCGCACTCGGCCCAACCTAACCTAACCTAACCAGTCCGCGTCGAACTCTCGCCGTGTTAAGTTCATATTCAACTCGCTCCGCTACTCAAAAACAGTTAAAAAATCGCGAAAGTGGTATAAAGTGCTCAAATAATAAAGTGCAATACATCAAAAGGTGCGCAAAAGTGAAAGGAATACGGTGCTGATATTAGTTTTTCCAAATTCGGAAAAGTTCATTGTGAAAATTGAAAAATAGTAAGTGAAAAGTGTTTTTTGTGTTTTACAAAAAAACCAAAGCGACGACCCAAATTTTTTATTCACTTAAAGGAAAGACCTTCAAAAGACCTAATTAAAAAGGTAACATTCATATTTTTACAAGTTAAGGAAAACTTAGAAAATTACAAAATAAGGGAAAAATTAAGGTTTTTTACCGCTCTACAAAAAACTAAAGCGGCAACATACATTTTTTATAATTTCAATAGAAAGAGTCATTAATTACCTACAGTTTAATATATAGTTCATAATTTCTACATCATAAGAAGACATAGAAACAAGACAAGGAAACTTGAAAAACGCTAAAATATTTCAAATATAAAATCCGTTGGAAGCGACGCGTCCCTATAATAACGGCCACATTCCAAACGCGGACCAAGGTCACTTAAAAAAATAGCGAAAGTGATATAAAGCGCTCAAATAATAAAGTGCAATACATCAAAAGGTGCGCAAAAGTGAAAGGAATACGGTGCTGATATTAGTTTTTTTTTCCAAATTCGGAAAAGTCCATTGTGAAAATTTAAAAATAGTGAGTGAAAAGTGTTTTGTGTTTTACAAAAAAACCAAAGCGACGACCAAAATTTTTTTATTCACCCCAAGGATAGACCTTCAAAAGACCTATTTAAAAAGGTAACATTCATATTTTTACAAGCTAAGAAAAACTTAGAAAATTACAAAATAAGGGAAAAATTAAGGTTTCTCACCGCTCAACAAAAAAAAAGTAAAGCGGCAACACACATTTTTATAATTTCAAAAGATAGAGCCATTAATTACCTACAGATTAATATATAGTTCATAATTTCTACACCATAAGAAGACATAAAAACAAGACAAGGAAACTCGAAAAACGCTAAAATATTTAAAATTTTAAAAATCCGTTGGAAGCGACGCTTCCCTATAATAACGGCCACATTCCAATCGCGGACCAAGGTCACGCGTCATCACAAAAGGATAAACAAATATACGTTCTAAAAATAGAACAATTCTCAAATACTAGAAGAACATTAGAACAATATTAGAAGACCAATCATCAGAAGACTAATAGTGTAAGCCCTATTATATTTTATTTTTATATAAATTTTCTCCTCTAACTTAATTAACTAACTATAGATTCATTTACTTCACTAGAGACTAAAATAGACATGCTGGAAAAAAACTCCCACGCTACAAAACTTGAAATTCGTAATGTTCCTAAGTCTGGACAAGAGAACAAAGAGACCCTCACACGTATAGTGAAAAATATTGGTACTGCCGTTGGCTTAAACCCCACCCTGGCATCGAGTGAAGTAAGAGATATTTACCGTACGAAATCCTCTTCAATAATCATCGACTTCACCACGACATCAATTAGAGACTCACTCCTAGTTAAATCCAAATCGTTCAACAAGGAAATGAAGGGGTCGAAAATGCCTCTGCTAAATACGTCCCATTTAAATATACCTGGGCCCGCCCACACTATATATATATCGGAACACCTGACGTTAAAATCAAAACACATCTTTTTTTCTGGCCAGAGGGCTTGTTAAAGGTAAGAAGATTGCTGCATGCTGGACATCTTACAGCAAAGTCTACATCAGGGTGGCTGAGGGTCAACCGTCGATGCGCGTTGACACAGAGGAAGACTTACAGAAATACGGAATTCAGCCTTAGTGTATACTTTAAGTTTACTCACGTGTTACTGTACCTTATACCTTTTAATTTATTGTTTTTAGTCCTATATAATTTTTGTTATCTATTTGTGCATGCCGGTGAGCGGAGTTTAAGGAAACCGCATATATCACAAACCTATATTTTTAAAAACTACTACACATATATTATACAAACATACACAATACTCATACACCACTCACTCAACTATAGCCAGTCTAGTATACCTATTATGCCTGCTAGAACTATCGCAAATACTATATCCTAAGTACCAATAAACTTAACTTACATTCACGTCCTATTTGTGTGCACAGTCCGACCCAACTAAATCACAGTGTATAGACAAATAAACGATAGTAACCTTTTATATAACGCACTAGATTCCTACAAAAATATTCAATTTTCAATCTGTGATCCTGAGGAATGTCAAAATGTGATCAAAAGTACTAGCAAATCCTTATCAATCCTGTCGCAAAATATAAGGAGTTTACCCTGTAATATTAATAGTTTTATCACTCTGGTAATGCGAATTAATATGTCCTGGGATTTACTCGTTTTAACCGAATGCTGGCTTCCGTCTACTAAATCTATACCAAATATACAAGGATACAACTACGCTGCCACTTTAAATAACTTAACACAAAATGAAGGAGTCATAGTCTATTATAGGAAAGATTCTAGCCCACTCATCGAGGAACCCCAAGAATTTCATGACGCTAACTGTTTAGTAATTAAATTTGATCCCTCTACTGTCATCATTTCCATCTATCGTCCACCAGGATATAGAGAGCCATTAATTTTTATTAATTCATTAAACCTACTTTTAAATAAATTAAAATCTTATAAAAACATAATTATTATAGGTGACATAAATATTGACATTGCACAAGGGACAAGTGACCAGCGCTCATGGGACTATCTGAATCTGCTTGCAGAGTTTAACATCCACCCCGGGTATAACGTTCCTACCCACAACCGAACATGTTTGGACCATATTATGGTTAAATCAGATAATGAAGCACACTGCCTTATAATTCAATCTTCCATAACCGATCATAACAGTGTTGCGCTCCTCTTAAAGATCGAAAAGGACTATCCTCTAACTCCCCTTCAATATAAAAGCAGTATCAACCTTGCTGGCTTAGATTTAGCGATTCAGGGACTAGATTTTTCGCACTTGTATTGTCTGAAAAATGTGAATGAGGTAGCTAGGTTATTTAGAGACTTATTGACAAAAGCTATTACCGATAACACCAAAGAGATATTTGTACCCAGACGTAAAAGAATTATTAAACCCTGGGTGACACCTGGGCTCCTCAGATGTATGCGTAACAGGGATAAACTTCACAAAAAAACTAAAAAGAACCCAGCTGACGAAATTTTAGCAGTGACATATAAAAGATACAGAACATTCTGTAATTCGTTATTAAAAAAGGCTAGGCGTGCATATGAAAGGGATGAAATTAACAAACATAATAAAAATAGTAGGAAACTCTGGGAGACCATCAATAATATTACTCAATACAAAAAACCTAGATCATCATCTACAGAACTTTTGAAAAATTGTAATCCACAAGAAAAAGTAAACAGTGTAAATTCATTCCTTGCAAATGTGGGGAAAAACATTGCTACTGGCCTAGGTAATTATAATTGTAATTGCTCCTATGTGACCACTACACCACCCCCATTAATTAATTCTCTTGTCCTCTTGCCCACTGACAAATC